GTACTCCTTTTCTTCCTTAACGATTGTACTTTGTGCACTAGTATTTTTGACACATTTTGAAAGAGCAACCTAGAATTTTGTTAAATATTGTAGTATTTCCCCTGTGTTACTATTTTAATATAACGAACAGCGAAAATTTCGATAAAACTTGGCACATGGAAAACTTGTATTACCTAAAATACATTTTGGAAAAGATAGTTACACAGGCATAAGAAACATTTGGAAACTTCACACGTCAGCAGTAGTGTCACGAGTAATTTCGTTATCACCCCATTCTTGGATGAACTAATGTATGTAGACAGACTAAGTGATCGCTTATTGCCTGCTGTTTCATTTTAAGTAGCTTTCATTAGCATTGGAGATGAATGAAATGCGGTTAACGACCTGAACAACGACACAATTAAGAGAACCATCAAATTCGTATCACTTGTGGGCCTGAATTGTTGTACGTCACATTAAGAGTCTAAGTTCTGAATTTATCTCTTGAATAATTTATGATGACTGTAAATAACGACGTTTCTCAGGTGGCGATGAAGTCAGCAGACACGACTAGAACAGTGCTACGAGCGTCATTCAATAAATAAGGTGCATTTTTCTGTATAAGGACTTCTAATACAGATAGAAGCTTACTTTTATTTTATTTTTCAACTTAGCCTCCCAGCACCGTCACACACATTTCCCATCTGTGCACGAGCTTCCGTATTCCCTCAGCGTAAAAATCTTTGGACTGATATCTCAATCAGCCACTCACAACACTTTTGACTTCATCGCCACTTTAAACTTCGTTCCTCTGATGAACGCTTTCAAGGGACCAAACAGGTAAAAGCCTGGAGGGACAAGGTCTGGACTGTAAGGGGGATGAGGAAGCAGCTCCCAGCCCAGGTCTTTGATTGTCTGCACCGTTCGGGCTGCTATGTGAGGCCTTGCGTTGTGATGATGCAAGATGACTCCTTCTGACTGATGACCCCTGCGTTTGTTCTTTATGTCTGTTTTGACGTGCCTCAGTAGTTCACAGTAGTGGTCACTGTTCACCGTGCTTCCTTTCTCAAAGAATGAAATGGGGATTAGACCTTGCATATCCCAAAAAACGGTAACCGTCACTTTCCTCGAGTACCGCTGGGGCTTGAACTTCTTCACTGGATAGTCTACGTGCTTCCACTCCATGGACTGCAGTTTGGACTCAGGCTCATATTGATAGACCCATGTCTGGTCACATTTGACCACATGCTTCAGAAACTCATCACCATCCTTCTCATAACGGCAGAGACACTATTGGCATCACTCGACCCTCCTCTGTTTGTGCTGTGCAGTAGGCAACTTAGGCACCAACTGGCGGCTGACCTTCGAGTAGCTAAGATCATCATGGGTAATTTTTTGTGCTGTCCCAACAGATAAGCTCAAAGTCCTTGCAATGTCATCCACTGTCACCTTCCTGTCCGACTGAATGATGTCATTGACTGATTCCATGACCTCACGAGACCTCAGTTATATATAGGCCTCCCAGGCCTGTATTCATCCTCAACAGTGCTCCGTCCTTCTTTAAAAAATTTTGCCCACTTGTAGACATTTTTTCGGCTGAAACATGTGGCACTACACAGTTGACATTCTCCTATGAATTTCAACCGGTTTGCACTCTTCAGCAACCAAAAACTTGATAACTGACCGCTGTGCAATCCTGGAGCATGCATCTTGGTCGGCCATCTTTGTTAATTCGCCAGAACTCTCAAAGTATTTTTCAATTTGCAAAAGAAATTACATCCATGTGAAATATAAGTAAAACAGGAAAGCTAAAAAGTAAGCTTCTATCTGTATTAGAAGTCTTTATACCGAAAAATTCACCAAATTTATTGAATGACCCTCGTAAGAGAAACGCTCGCTCACATGAACCAACAAAAGTTTGGTTTCATCATTATCATCATTATACACGTTAGCTGCAGGTGGCAAACACCTCAGCTATTGTGCCGCTATACGAAAGATAAGAAAAGGAAAACAAACAATGGCACGCCGGCTAAATCTACAGTAACGGATGGACATTTTTCCGTAGAGCTAACAGCCGGCCATCGTGCCGTAAAAAGCGAGTGATATTATGGCTAACGAATGAGATCGTGATTGGAGGGGGATGCTAAACAGGAGGAGCATGGACAAAGGAACTCACAACACAAATGCCATTGGGGCCGGCTCCAAGCCACATCACCAAGTGTGTCCAACCAGACCTATTCACTGAACTTAGAACCACAGCCAGGCAGTCTGGAAATCGACGCCAATTTCGAAGTGAGGGTTTTCATCTCTCTCGACCGAGTCATCGCCTGGCCTCCCCTCCTCCTCTTCCAACTGCACCCATAACACGCAAGCAATGCATGTCGCGGAAATCGGTGTGCTGGCATGCGCAACACGCCGCCTAACCATCGGAGCCTGGTGCATTATATAATGGTGCTGAGCGGTTCACTCGCTCTTCCTGCAACAAATAAGCGACGTCGAACACGCTCATTGTTCACGTGGTGCTCCCACCAGACATGAGCTAAGCTGCGAAGCCAGTGATGATTGAATATGACAAGCCTCTTTATGTCTGTCGACCTGATGGGCCAAGTTTCACAACCATGTAGGGCAGTTGAACGGACGGCTGCGCTGTAAACTCTGCCCTTCAGGGCGAGAGTAATGTCGCGTCTGCGCCACAGGTGGCGGAGAGTGGCAAAAGCACCTCGAGCTTTTGCTATACGGTTCGTAAACTCATCTTCAATCCCACGGGTGCAAATATAGCTCCCAAGTACTTGAATTCCTGAAAGACTTCTAGCAGATCACCATAAAGTCTTAGCGCAGGATTGTGTCACTGCCAATCTTAGAGAAGTACTTTTCATTTCGACGGAGCAAAGCACAGCCCAAAGCGATTGACAGCCAGTGATAATCGGTACAGCGCTGCTTGACATGTTTGGGAGTTGTCACAGATTAGGACAATGTCGTTCGCATAATCTAAGTCAAGTAGTCGCTCACCAGGAAGTAGCTCCACACATTCTAATTCGTGCCCAGCGTACGCTGTTTCCATGACTTCAACAATAGCGAAGTTAAAGAGGAAAGGTGACAGCAGGCAAACTTGTCTTACACAGCTGGTGATATTGAAGGGTGGCGACAGTTTGCCATAATCCTTCACTCTGCCCGAGGTTTGCGCGTACAGAGCTTTGAAAAAGTTTACATGTTTATCAGGCACACTTCTCCTCAGCAGACGGTTTCGAAGAGCATGTCGGTTGACTGAGAGGAAGGCACCTTTTATGTCAATAAGCACAACAGCGGTGGGTTGCCAATAAAAATCGCTGTGCTTCAACATTTGACTCATGGTAAAGATGTGGTCGATGCAGCCCCGAACTCGACGAAATCCGGCTTGCTTTGCACGAATCTGGCTTCTACGAGTGCCAGTCAGTCTGTGGCGAGTGACAGAGGCAAGCAATTTAGAAGGAATCGAAATCAAACTGATTCCTCTATGATTGCCGCATTCCAAACGGGAGTTTCCCTTGAATATTGGGACAATGACGGAGCGGTTCTAGTCTTTCGGGACAGCCTTCTGCTCCCAAAGTTTCACTAGCAACTCATGTAAACCATCTATTAGAGCAGGTCCCCCGAATTTGAAGAGGTCTGGGGAATTCTATCTGCCCATGCGGCCTTATGCAATTTCAACAGCCCGATCTCAAGTTCGAATTCTGCGCGTGAGGGCGGATCCAAGGAGAAGGCCTAGGGAGAAGGGCGCTCAATGCCCGGAAAAGAAACCAATAACTCAGGTTGGTTAAATTGCCTTGCAAAGGGTTCAGCCTTACGCTCCCAGCGTTTTCGCATGCTGTGCATCGGCTGCCCACTCTCATTGCGTATGGTCTCGCTAACGTCGGGTACCCTGCTGCCTGTTTCCCGTGTCAGAGGGAATAATATACGATGATTGCCAACAGTATCGGCTGTTTCCATCTCAATGGCACGACGGGACCACCAGGTTTCGCGGTCTTTCTTCAGACTAGCACGTAGTTTTGCCCGGTGTTTTTGCGCGCCACACTGTATTCGCTTCCAACCGGAATACGTCGGCAAGCATCCTTAAGTTACAGAGACTGTGTAGCGAACCAATGTCCGGTTTGGCAATTTGCTTTGCCACATGGAGACGTACCTGTTAACACTAACGTTTTATGAATATGCGACCAGTGATCTTCGACGGTGTTCGGTGGGCGCTTACTCAATCCAGATGTCAGCCCACTTTGATACAAATTCAGAACATCTGGCTTCGCTAGCTGGCTGGTGTCAATCTGTTCACATCGACGTTGCGGAAGTCCTTCGAAACACACCAGGAGGTCGGGTTAAACAAGCACGTGGTCGGAGTCCACGCTAGGGCTTCAAACCGAGCGACAGTTTTGGACACAGCCTTTTCAGCAATAACTGATCGCCGTATGATCGATTTGCGTCCATGACTGACCCGAGTCTAGTGGCCGCCAAGTCATGCTTCTGCGCGTGCTGTGTCGAAAGTTAGCGCTCGCGAGATCAGCGCCTCCCCCCCCCTGCCTCCCCTCCCCTCCCTTTCTCCCGTCTCTCCTTCTCCACGCTCCCTGCCTCCTCTCGTCTTCTGCTCTGCCGGCCGGCCCCCTCTCGCCCTTCCTCCCTTTCCTTCTCTTCCCTCCCCTCTCTCTCCCCTTCTGGCCCCCCCCCTCCTCTCTCTCTCCCCCTTCTTCTCTTCCTCGTCCCGTCTGCCGCCCCCCTTGCCCTTCTCTCCCTCCCGCCCTCCTCTTGCGTTGGCCTCTTTCGTTGCCCTCCCGCCTCTCTTCTTTAACTTCTTCCCCCTCCCTCTTCTTCTCCCCCTCCGCCTCGCCTGTTCCCCGTCCGCCGGCCCGTGTCCCCCCCTCTGGTCGGCCCCTCTGCCCCCGCCCCCTCCCTCCCGCTGCCGCCCCCCTCCCCTCTCCTCCTGCCCCTCTGGTCGCGATGGCTCCCTACTCCCCCCCTGCCCCCCCGGCTGTCCCCCCCGCCTCGTGCCCGCTTGGTCATATCGCGGCGCGTGTGGTGCCTGACAACCCCGTATATTTGGAGTATCTCCCCTTTTTCCTTCGTCGGGACTCAAACCCCGCGCCCGCGGGTCTTTCTTCCGCCTCCGTCCTTCTGCTTGCCGCTGTGCATTCATCCGCATGCCCCCCCCCCCCCCCCCCCCCCCTGCTCTTGATCGCCCGCCTTGCATCTCGGGCCGCATGTACAATCATTTGATAGCTTATATCCACTGTCAACTTCAGGTTCCACTAGTGCGCACGACCCCGGGTGTTCTGGACGTATATCCAGTAAGTGTCAAAGAGACGCTAAATAACTTATCCCTTGTCCCCACCTGCAGAGAGTGGTGTAGGTTACACACCCGTGTCCCGGATTTCAGACTTCCTGAAAGCACATCACGTGAAGTAAAACAAATCTCTCCTAGTTATAGTCGCTTGACACCCCGTGATGTGACGCGTTAGCGCGAGCGCTAAACGCTCCACTTTGCGACTATGAGCTCGTATTAAAGTAGTCAGCCTTAACGATCTCCTCGAGCGACTGTGTCAGGTACCAGATCTCGCATCGTAACTGAGCACGAGCTGCTGATATCGAGCCACAATTCGGTGCGAGCTATGGAGATGTCTTGCTCTCGTGTAGCTGTGGTGCGCATTCGAGTGTCACGGTAACACATAGATGACAGCTTGAGCACTGCTAACTAACCACGCATAGAGCATCATTGTTCAGAGAGAGTGCGACGCCTGACTGACTCCCAGGATAGATACACAATGATCATTGAGAAATGTGCCCTTCCCCCAAGTGCTTGCTCGGATCCTTTCCGTATACATCATTTAAGAGCTTTTCTTCTCAGATCTGTCTCACATGAGAAGTACCTGGGAGTCATCGTCTCGCACTATCCAAAGACATCCCTTTATACGTAGACGAAGGTAGCTGCAGCCAACCGAATGCTTTGGGATTTGCGATCAACGTTCTGCCAAAGTATGTATGTGTTTCTTAGAACCCTAATTGCTTCGCATGTTTGTTCGATTCTAGAATATTGTCTCCCCGCTGCCTATCTCCTAACGAACTCTGAACATGATTTGATAGGGAAGGTGCAGAGGCGCGGTTCAAAATCGATATTGGAGCTTCGGGACTCCCCTACACTCTCCGACTTAAGACCTTGAACCTTTTCTCCAAGGAATACCGTCGCGGAGTTTACCTCTAAACAAGGCGCTTCCTAAGATGAGAACCTGAAAGCAAGCTGCAGCAATTCATTCGTCCCAAAGTGGGCAGCTAGACACCTCGCCAAAAGTAAAAATTATTTAAGTTGAAGACACTTCGCGTCCTTCCGCAAGCTGCTCCATCTTTCAGGGTGGTAACTGACTGGAACAGTCTGCTGAAACACGTAATTAATTCGCAGACTGAGAAAAGCTTTAAGCGATTGCCAGTCTCTCATTTAAAGCACATGGCAGGGTCATGCTGCTCTTAATTTAACGGTAATGATCTCCGAAGGCGTAACGTCTCTCGATAGCAAGCACTCAACTTGTAATGATTGGAATCGGTGGAGCTGACAGTGATCCTCCTTCCTGCTCTCAACATCCTAACGAGCGAATAAAACATGCAGTCTGGATAACAACGAAGGCGGTTAAACCCCGTGGGTCCTCATTTGCTGAGGCAAATGCAGCTTGCAGAAATTCCACCTGTTCAACTCCTGTTATGGATTCATCTAATGGTATGCGGTGACGTTTGCTTCCACTAGTATTATAAAGGTTTTACTAGATGTCCAGCGAAACAATACAAAATACTATCGCTCAGCCATAAATTTCGTTTTAGAGGTGATAAATGCATCGCTCAATCTTGGAAGCGCCCGGGTTCTACCTATGCTGCAGTATATCCAGGTTCGCAGATGTTGAAAAGGCGTTAGTTAAGCTTGTCCCTCTTAACTCACTCAACACTAAAGTGGAGTTTTCTATTGAAATTCAGAAACATTGCGGATGAGGACGTTGACAGTCCATACGCTGATGTCTGTCACCCTGTTAAGGAGTAGTTCATCCTACCGTACTCTTCAGTTCAGATGAAGCTTACTGACTCGGATGCTTCTGACGGCCTTGTTGACCCTACCCAACTAGCAGGCGAATCACGCGCCCCTGGGCCAAATAGGAATAAACGTAAGAGGGCAAGGAAAAAAGACAAACCCTCTACCCCCAGACAAGGATGTAATAAATCGCTCAAGATGTAAGACACTGAGCGGTAACACCACTGGGTGCTGAAGTTCCCTCAGTAAGACGTAAATTGCGCTCGCCTTCGGTCCCACAAATGTCTGTCAAACAACCACGTGGTGTAAAGGTAGACTAGGTGGAATGATCACATATATCGGGGTGATTCTTATGCAAATAGCATTGTAAGTTTCAGAAACCGCCCTGAATCCAGTGCTGACCTTCCGACCGAGCGCATTCATGTTGGTCTTGATTAGCTTAAATTTTGCGTGACTAGGCTTTACCACCAGGTCACCCTGGCGTTACTGTCATGAAAGTAAAACTTGGTCCACTGATCAGACTAAAGTGAAATTATAGTTGGCAATGGTATGTGGGAGTAATGACTTCGGTTTATCGCTTTGTGTGTGGCCGCGTAACCGTGCTAAATTAAACCGAGATAGTCTGCTACAGAGAGGCCAGAGCGCTTATGTTTTCCTGCTGGTCGTGTGCGCGCTGAATTGTCTGCATGTTCAACCTCGTCACGTACAGTGAGTCTGGCCCAGGCGTGACATGTTTAAACAGCTATATCGTTCACGCAGCAAACAGAGCGACTGAGCGATACGAACACGTCGTGTAGGATAGCTACTTTGATGATTGGTCCGAAGCTGTGGTTGCTGATTCGTCAGATAAAACGTGTAGTTGGCTTTCGTTGGAGACGACAAATATTGCACGGTGGTTTGTGATTCGGAATATTCATCGACTGTGTTTTTTGCGGGATAGCGCAAAAACTGTAATTTGGAGATAAAAGACAATCCACACAAGCTAGATCTGAAAGATGGAGTGCATTAGATATCGCGTATGAATCTGGGTCGAATGCGTGTAAAAACACGGTTGTGTGACAAAATGCAAGTGAGAACGGAGGCAAAACAACTTGTTCAGATGAGGTAGTATGTCGTTCAAGGTTTCAGTTGTTGCCAAGTCAATAACAACGTGTGTCACGGCGTGCACACATGCCTGCATTAAAGACTGGCTTAAACATTGGCCCATATAGGGATTAGTAGGCACGGTTGCCTTTGTAACTGATTACAAATATGCTGTAGGAACATCCCTGGGTGAGATAACAGTGTTTGCCTGTTCCAAGTATTCACCTGAATCACCAGAGTAAAATGCGTGCGCCGACACTAATTATCGGCCTATGCGTGTTTTTCAGCAGGACGATGTGGCATACGGTAGTCTTTGTAGCCCCTGTAGGTTTTTCTTTGTTGCGTAATACCCAGTCCATGAGGATCACATTCCAGTTCATGGAAGTAATAGGGAGGTTCCATCTGCATTTACTATGCTTGTAATGGTGTCATATGGGGAGGCACTTGTCAAAGCGTCTCCACACCTATTGGTGACTATATGAAAGTAAACCTTTAATTATCTTATGCATTCACAACTTCCGCATTCTTCCTTTGTCCTTTAACTAACACTGTACCATTTGACACTGAAGCCATAGCTAAATAACAAAGTCGCTCATCAGTCAGGAAACAAATGAGCACTCACGGTTATCGTATCCCCGCCACACATAGACACCTCCTATTTTAAACAATGTTTCTGTTTTATCATCAACTGTTAAAGAATCAAGCATCCATAGAACATTCGTTGTTAAGCTTCAGACTGGTCTACCTACTTCAATGGGAACAATATCCCCAATGGCCGCCGCAATAACAATTGCACAAAATAGTCCAACCGCCTAGCAGCCATTGCTAATTCAGGTTAGGGTGTGCAGCGTCATAGCCACGGCAAATTCCTTACCAATCACAAATGCAGGCCTGCCTGACACCCACAGACCAAAGGAACTGCGACAAACCAGTTAGAAGAGGGCCTGTCTACGTCACTACCGTAACCATGCCTAGGCCGTGGAAAAAGTCACCACTAGGTAGCGGCTAGCGATCAATAATATAGACCGCTTCATGTGGTGGTTTGCATGTCCGTCCGCACTGGTTTCGGCGTAAGCTTCGGATCATGTGGTAGCTAGGATCTCCTCCTTAGATAGACGTCACACGTCGCCCCTTGGACTCTTACTGTATGGAGAGAATTCGTCGGAGTTTCATTGAGACGCGCATCAGGACAGCACAGAAGTTTGTGCTCGAAGACTTTCATGAGGTTGTTTGGCGCATATACTCAGGGTTTCCAATAGATGTCCCATTGGTCAAAATCCCATGACCAATGAGAGTGTGAACGACTCCAAAACAGCGTTCTCAGGCTCGCGATCTTGAATAGATGACAAGCGATTTCCAAAACGTGCCAAGCAAAAGCTGGGTGCAATGCCCTAACATGCCTGGAGACGTGTATAAAAATAAATTTGAAAATGACGATAAATGAAGTCATACTCGTGGCGGAGCGTAGCGCAACTCAGCCTTGCAGAAGTTGTCTCTGGGGAGAAATGGTTCCATCCGGTATTTTGTGTTCTGGATGCAGCACATATTACCACGCGAACTGTGCATCTTTAAAGGGTAAGGAAATGACGATCAATAAAACAAGCTCTGTTTGTTTCGCACTTGTTGTATGGCAGTCTCACCTAGTAAACGCGTAGCTGTTTTTTGTAGAAATGCGATAAATTTGTGGCGAATTTCGAGGAAGTTAAGCTGCGTAAATGCTACGTTTCAGATTCAGCTGCCGCAATGCTCGGGCTGCAAAGCTTTACAGCTGACCATAGTGGCCGTATCATAGGTAAGATTGACATGGTGAAGATAGGTACACGCAGAACAATAATACGATTTCAGGCAAGCAACCTGCCCTTTCCTTCTACGGCGACTCCCATCCTGGCCCAGTTGATATTGCATGAGAGCAACAGAGTGGAGCCTGGCATACCGGCACAAGTGAACACACCGGGTACCGCTGTAGGCGTGATTACATACACATCCGTTGTCGCTCCAAAAGCACAGGGATCAAAATCGATGGCTACAGCTGATACAACCATACAGTGGGCCAGAAGTGCCACGTGCGCCCAGCACACCACCAACGATTCGTCATACCTCTAAAAAGTTTATTTCAACGCA